GATGTGGGAAGACTCTAGAAGACTCCAGGAGGCTTTTCCACCAAAGCGGGGCACATGTCACTGACATATGGGGCCGGCCAGCCCCACATGTAGGCCGCCGGCCCCTATGGGTCCCACCTATCATCCTCGTTGCTACATCGGTTCTCCACCACCTCCTAGGTTGCATCTACGCCGTTTATTCAAGTCAGTTTGGTCTGAGGGATCAGGATTGATGCTCCGGCCTATATATACCTACCTGCACCCCCCCTCAGGGCATTATGCATTTGATCCTGAGAGCTGAGAAGCCAGAAACCCTAATTCATATTTCCACCAGGATCGAGGCTAGCAATTAAGAGAAGATTAGTCCATGATAGGATCTAGTCTTGTATTAGAAATAGTGAGATAGAGTGTGAGGGAAGAGTTTCGGAGAAGTCTTGGCCTGTCGTTGCTCTCTCTACGGCTTGTACTCTGGTGGAATCAAGTACTTCTTGAGCTTGCTTCTGAGATTTCTCTGGTTATCGACTTCTAATTCAAGTATCTTGTTCATATTGTTGTTCAGGTTTGCGACTCTCTTATGAGTATTTTAATCCTTGTAGCTCCTAGGTTAAAGTAGTATTCGTAGTGTAAGCGTGGTGTTTAGACTCGGTTACTCGTAGATGTACCCTATTTTCTGGATTGGTGGTAGCTCACAAGGGTGACTCTTATAGCCTTGTTGAATCCTCTGTAGTCCACCTCCCGTTAGTAGGCCTAGCAGGACCTTGTTACTATAGAAAATATACTCTGCCTGTGTTTTCTCTAGTAATATCCCCAGAATTGAACAATAGAAGACAAAGCTTACCGAAGTTAGAACTAGAAGACCTTAGCAGTCTCCTCTACGCTTCTATTATCTAGCCTTGATTGAGAAGTTGGGTTAAGTTAGAATTGGTTATTCTCACCCCCGTTCTTTTGGGTTCGATATAAAACTGCTCTTTGCATTGCATCCTAGCAAGTAGATAATTTTTAATTTAAATTTTTTATCATTTGCTTGCTTTGGTCGTGGTTGTCATCAATCACCAAAAGGAGATTGTAAGGAAAATTACTGGTGTTTGATGACCACCACAACCAAATTGAAGTGAATGAATTTGTGCGTTTGTTTTGAGTCCAATAGCAACGAAATGAAAGTGCTACAACGGTATAATATTTGTGCACTTGCTGATTATTCTGTGTGCATTAAATTATACCAACACCCAGTGCGTCAGCCTTTGCATGTGGGGCGCTCATGCGTGTGATAGGGTCACGACTTGCGTTTGGCCGAGTGAAAAGCACATCCGTGCACAAGGCATTGTCGCTCCCCCATTGGCTGCTGCTGGTTCCACCGTTTGCTCTCGACTGTTTGTTGTTTGCTGCTCCGTTCGCTGAGAAGGAGCCGTTGGATAGAGAAAGCTGTGGGGGCTATGCGTCAGTGAGAGTGCTGGAGGGAGCCTCCTGCCGTTGGCTTTCTCGTGCGCTGAGAGGAGGGTGGCCGGTTGGACCAGCTACATGGGGTCGGCTATTTCTCTCCTTCCGCCTTCTCTCACCCTCTCTCGCTCACTCTTCATCATTATTATTTGTTGTTTGCTACTTTGTTTGCTGTAGTAGGAGCCGTTGGATAGAGAAAGCTGTGGGGGTTGTGCGTCAGTGAGAGTGCTGGAGGGAGCCATTGCTCCTGCCGTTGGCTTTCTCGTGCGCTGAGAGGAGGGTGGCCGGTTGGACCAGCTACATGGGGCCGGCTATTTTTCTCCTTCTTCCGCCTTCTCTCACCCTCTCTAGCTCACTCTTCCTCATTATTGCGAGAACCAAAAAAAAGAACAAGCTTTCCTCTCATCTCTTCCTCCCAAAGCTTTGTGCTTACCCTAAGTGAGAGATTGAGGATTTAAAGTGTTGATCTTGTGAGATTGAAGAGCATCTCCTCTCCCTCTCCTAGCTTGTTGCTCATTTAAGAGAGGATTTGGGGGAAACCCTAGTGTATGCATTTGAGGTTGCGTATTTGGTGGCACTAGGTGATTCTTGTAATTGTGGATTTCTTATTACTCTTGGTGACTGCCGTCACCTAGACGGTTGTTGATTTGTTGATTGGTGAGGGGATTTGGTGATTGTGTCCGCCCCCAATCAAAGTGCTTGTGAGGGGTTGTTGTGCCTTTCCCGACAGGGTGCCAAAGGCAACTCTAGTAAATTGCTCATATCATTGAGTTACCCTCACTTGTGGGTAGGTTCTTGCGGCGCCCAATTATTGGGCTAGGTGTGTGATACATATTAGTCGCCGAACCATCAAGTGTTGGTCGACACAACGGGGACTAGCATGCCGGCAAGCACGTGAACCTTGGGAGAAAAATCTTGTGTCCATTGTGATTGGAATTCTCCTGATGATTCATTTGGTATTCATTGATTGGTTCATTGTCTCTCGCCACGACGGTATAATCACCTTACTCACTATCTTGCATTTACTTTGATATATAGTTGTGTAGCAAAGCTCTTTAGTGTAATTAGTTTGAGAGCTTGCTAGTTTGTTGAGTAGCTTGTCTCGTGAAGCTCTTTAGTGTAGTTAGTTTGAGAGCTCACTAGTTAGATAGTAGTGACATTGTCATTGATTGATCTAGATATATTAATCAACTAGAATTGTAGTGTAGGTGGCTTGCAATCCTTGTAGAGGTAGAACAAAATTGTATTTCGCCTTATAGGTTACTAGCCCTTTGCTCCAGTGAATTTATAGAATTTTTTAGGCTATTCACCCTCTCTAGCCATTTAGGACCTTTCAATTAGTCGACTCATAAATAAGTGTCTACAATGAGGGCTTGCGAGGCTTGTAGAGGAGCAGTGATCCAAGAGCTCGACTCAACAGGGACGTAGTTTGTTAGCAAACAACCAAACCTTGGGGTAGAAACAACGGGGACGTAGTTTGTTGACAAACAACCAAACCTTAGGGTAGAAATCATCGTGCCACTTGTTCTTGTTGGTTTGCCTACTACACTTGTACAATTCACTTTGTTTAATCTATAGCTTGCGTACTTTTCTTATTTCAAATGACGTTTTGACTTTTCCAGTATACTATATTTGAGTGCATAGCCAAATCTACGTATCTAACATCTAGAGGGAGTATTCGTTAAGTTTGATTAGCTCGATTAGTTAAGTAGCATAATTGGATTGTGTGTTCTAATGTTTAGCTTGTTGCTCAAAGTAATATCAGACTGAGTAAAATACATCCATAACGAGACAACAAACTTCAATAGTTCAATTTCAGTCACGTTCCTGTTCTAGCTGGAAGCCGAACTCGAAGAGCCGAAGAGATTACACACTTAGCATACGGTCGAATGATTCGCTGACACGTCAGACGTTCATCTATCTCCATTCTCGGGCACAGGGAGGCCTCAGCGCCACACGCTCGCCATCCGCTGACCGCTGCTACCTACTCGTACCTGTAGATGAAGTCGGAGTTGCCGACCATGGCATTGAGCACCTGCGAGACGAGGAAGCCGCTGCCGGCGAGGACGGCCACGATGAGCAGCGCCGTGACGGGGTTCTTGAGCAGCTCCACTATGGGCTGCAGCACCGTGTACGCCACCCCTGTGCTCACCGTCACCACGTACAGCGCGTACCGCCGCATGTTGTCCCAGAACTCCTCCACCAGGGGGCCCTCCGGCCCCAGCGCCAGGGCGGGGCCGGCACCCGCGGACAGGGCCAGCGCCACGGCCACGCCCGCCGTGATGCCGCCGATGAGCGCCCACGTCGGCAGTGGGCACGTCCTGCCGCCGGCGGCGCCGGCGTCGTTATTATTGCCGGCCGCTGCGAGCTCTTGACGCGGGTGGCTCTCCTCCGTAGCTGCCGCGATGCTTTCGTGAGGTGCTACGGCGAGGAGGCGCTTTGCGTGCCGTTGTGGGGTTGGTTCAGAGGAGGAGAGCCGAGCTCGGACGACGGCGGTGGCGTTGAGGCCATGGCCGCGTCCGGGAGAGAGGCGATGTAAGTGGAGGGCGCGGTGGAGAAGAGAGAGCTGGTTCATCTTGTGCAGTCTCTGGTCTTCGACTGCTTGGTACCTGTTCTTCGTGATAAGCCTCTACCAAGTTCTGATAGACCTCTGATCGTGTGGGCCAGCTCTAGCTCTGGTTCCACGCCGCCTGAGCAACCATGGTGGACTGGTGGCCCTGCGGAAGCCGGACCAGATATTCCTTAGTTTCCTTCTAAAGCAGATGAGCTATAGTTTGTTGCACCGTTTGATGCGTAAACGCTGTAGGAAACCCGGGGTTAGTTTTTTTTATTAATTACACAGTACACGCACAACTACCTCTACGAACGAAAGCACGTAAACACTAACCTATGGTATCTTCGAAGACTGGACCGATAAATCATCGATACGAGATTGACGAAGTCACCACAGACGTCTTGTCGTCGACGGGAACACGAGATTGACGAAGTCACCACAGACGTCTCGTTGTCGATGGGAACGTCGCCTACCACAAAAAGTATGGAGCCGTTAAATCCTAGACACCTGAGACTCTTATAACCACTAAGCTACGTAGCCTTGGGAGCACGCCAAGCAGCAATGCCATGACAATTTACAAAGTGCCTTCGTGCTAAATTGTCAGGCTGGAACCATAAAACCGCACTATCTATGAGAAAGAACAGAAGTTCATGATTTCTCACTTGAATTTTTCCAAAACAAAATGATTTCTCACTTGTTCTTCTAAATAACGCACTAAGCATAGCACACTCAAAGAGATATTGATGGTTACTTCACATCCAACACAATTTTCAAAAACAAGTCATCATGATCGTAACTCTATAATTTCACATTTGATACAATTGTTTTTACTGTACCGAAGCACTTCAGTTTGTGCAACTCTTCAGCCCCAGGGTGTAGATACACACATGAAACTCAACACGATTTGAGTCAGACCATCGCCCATGAAACAAATCATCAAAAACAAAGCCTAAATGAACTATGGATCTTTTATTGACGATAACTAACATACAAACCACCATGAAGATCTATCTTCAGTGGACTCCCCAATTCAGGCCTTGGAAGGAGCACTTTCCTTGTGGAATATTTTGTAGGCATCGCTGTAGACAGCTACTACATTTGATACAACAGCAAGAACAATCATGAAGACCGCCAGAATTTTGTCCCACTTCTTGGCAATGCCTTGTGGATCCCTGATATGCCAAAAGTAAAAGGGATTAGAGGTTACCAGAATTGAGTGTCTTTCAACAACTAACCATCATGGCAGCAATTGTTGTAAAAAAAATCATGGCAGAAACCAATCCATAATTTCGTACAAATTATAATCCAGCATCTATCAGGTCAACTACATATTTAAATATTAGCAGCGTGTACCTACAGTCATAATCCACAAATATATCTTAGAGTAACCATAGACAGGGTTTATTTTCTTTTATTCTCATTCCCCACATGCTCAGAGGTCCATCTGGATGCTAGAACTAGAAAAAAAGTACACCAAACTAGGCGAATAAATCTGCTGGAAGGAAACACAGTTACAACTATTCTGAACAAAGTTTTAACAGCATCAAATTACCTTAAAGTGATTGCAGCTGGGAAAATAAAGGCAATACAGACAGCAGCAGTTGCCCCAGTAAACTGAAAGGCATCCCAAATACTAGGAATGAAGATTGCAGACCCAAAAATCACTAGGAGGAGCAATGCTGTCATTATGCCAAATCTTCTGTTGTCAGAAGACAGAGGCCTTGCAGCGGAGAAGAGGAGCCCATCCAAATTAAGCCTCAATGCATGGAATATCATGGGGAACACAAGCATAAGGTGAACAGCATAGCTCACTCTGACAGCATCGTTTAGAACTGAACTGTATGGGATCCCAAGATTTGAATCAAAATTGGAGAGCACATCAGAGAGTGTAGATTCACCAAAGAGGAGATATCCAAAGAAACTTGTTGTGATGTAGATAGCCGAGCATAGTGTCAATGATGTATGCACTATTGGCTTGATCTGGGAAGAGTCCTTTAGCTCATTATGAATTGGGTGAACTGCAAAAATGTAAATCAGATCTCCTTAGACAGCTGAGAAGCAAGCAATTTTTTCTCTGGGACTTGTTTGTACACTAAAGACGTCAGCTCAAACAAGTTGTAGGGATAGCTATCAAATTAGCCTATGACTATTTATTCATTTTGTCATTTACATGTGTTTTTATGCCCCTGACATTCACATTATTCGTCATCTCGTCATCTGCAACTTTCCAGGAATGCAACTACAAAAATAGCAGTGTGCACCTTTTCCATTCTGTTTGTAATAAGATTCGTTATCTGCAGTCAGAATTAGAAATTGCTCATACCATTGTAATGGCAAACATAAGCGGTGACAAGAACCGGCACTGCTGTAAAAAGTTCCCAAACAGATGCCAAATCAGGAATAGTGGGAAACAACTTGGGCATTGGAATTTGTCCACCTATCAACTTGATGATAGCAATTCCTGCAGTAATAATAACGAATACAACCGCCAAAGCAACAGATATTGTGGATGTATAGCTCAGTGAATCTGCAAGAGAAAAATTAAAAGAAACGCATGTTCTCAAATATACAGTACTGAACCAAATATCCATTAACCTTCTAGAGCCTGTAATAACTTATTGGTAGTTCAATTGCTTACCAATACGCTTCAAGCATGCTAGTGGAGTAAAAACACAAAGGGTTGTAACAAGGAGAACAAAGAAACGCCCATTCCACCAGTGTATTCCAAACCATCCTTCTAACACACCATAGTGATGCTCACCACCAGAAGTGGTTCCAGAAAGCACATCACCTGTGGTAAACAATGAACATTTGTATGTCAGTAGGAACTAATATCCACAGTTTAAGGCATCAACTGGGGAAACATTGAACCGTGAGGCAATCATGGTAAGCTACCATCAAACTGGGGAAACATTGAAGGAGTAGCATTTTATCAAATTTGAAGTATAAAATGCAGAACTGAAAATGTTAAAGGCATATGATACTAAGTGCTTCTGGTTGGCCACAAGTGAAACAAACTCACATTTCCTTTCAGACAGTATCTATGGAATGGAATATCTTATTCTAGAATTTACACCAACATCCCATGGGGTCTCAGACCTTATACAGAAATAGGAAATGCATATGCTACCAATTAACAAAGATGTTTTCCCGTAACGGGCCGAAATTTATTGAATGCAAAAATAGTCAATTGCCCAAAATTCCATTTCTCGTTCGGTGCGCATGCTGCACAGGAAGCAACAGTGGAACAACATCTGCTCCTAAATCCACGGTCAAGACTCCAGAACAATCCGAAAACTAATTGAGCTAACTTGCAGTAGAATATGTAAGTTCAATTTCTCAAACCAAGGACCAAGACACCACAATCCTAAGAAATTCAATGAGGCAAAGAAGAAGAAAAAGATGAATTGCGTCGAAACTGGCTGCGCCCAGATGATGTGTTTCGTTTACCAATAATGATCATGTAGACGATCATGACCCCGACGTTGTTGATGACGACGCAGACCTGGAGCAGCCTCCTGCCCCACAATCCGAAGGCGTTGCCCATGGCCGCGCTGTAGGAGCGCGCCCCCACGGCGCTGCTGAAGCGCACGAGCAGCTCGATGGAGGCGTCGGTGAGGAGCGCGGCGAGCACTATCATGACGAGGCCGGGGACGAGGCCGAGCACCTTCATGGTGGCCGGTAGCGCCATGATGCCCGCGCCGACGATGGTGGTGGAGAGGTTGAACACCGCGCCGGCGAAGGAGGCGCCGTCGAACTCGTGGAACGCGGAGGCACCGGCGTCGTCCTCGTCCCCATCCCGCTTCGTGGGGAGCAGCGGGTCGCTGGCTCCCGCGAAGCGGTCGTTAGCGCCGCCGCCGCCCATGGTCAATCTCCCAAAACAGCAGATTCTTGGAAGAAATTGTACACGCACACAAAAAAAAAAACACCAAATTATTGGGCAAGGTCACAGAAAGGGACTATAGAAAAGCTAGGATCTTTGTATCAGCTGTTGGCTACTGACACTCGTACAAGAAATTTCAAGAACTCAAAATTTTCATCAGTAGCAGAATCGCCACAAATCTCGCGGAACAGGATAGGAGATACAGCAAGCCAAGCGAGGACTTCGATTGGCTGCCTGGCTGGGTAGAGATTCTCTCCCGTGCCGTTGAAGCGACGGAAGTGGAGCGTATTGGCTGAACAAATGGGTAGAACAGGAAGAGGATCAGGAAAAACGTGCTGCCACGGCTCTCCGCCTCTCCCTGTAAACCGCGATACAAGGACGTGGGGAGGAGGAAGACCCGAGCAATTTGATACGGAGAGGCCCGCGATTTGGTTTCGGTGATAGTGGCTGTAAATCTGCTGGGCGTCTCTGTTTAGACCTGTGGCAATTTTTTGCTCCGTTTTTTTGTACTATTTTTGGAGTAGTTATACACTGTATTTGTCGACATCGTAAACCTGGGATCTGGTGGGTCTGTTTCTAGCAAAAGCTCGGTCTAGTAGAAGATGTTGCGAACGACGCGTAACTCCTGGGTCGGCCCAGATATTTAAAACGACAGGCCAAAAGAGCGATCCAGTCTCCGATCGGGAGGCCTGGCCGAGAAGGGACGGTGCTCGCTTCCGACTCCGACCCGCTTCTCCGACCGGAATGTCTGGCCAGGGAGGGCGACGTTCGCTTCCGACTCCGACCCGCTTCTCCGACTGGGAGGCCTGGCCAAGAAGGGCGACGCTCGCTTTCGACTCCGACCCGCTTCTCCGATCGGGAATACAATTAACCTCTGCTTACACCTCTTCTCCGACCGATGCGGTCGGAGCCGACTATGGAACAACCGACCGGGGATGCCCGCTCGGTGAGGACCAAGGAAACGGGCGAAGCAAGTAAGGCAGGGCGCTCAAGTCAACCACAATATAGAGGACCGTACCCTGCACACCTGCAGGACAGTACTGCCAGGTCATGTTAGAAGGGTACTTTATAACCTTCCAGACATGTCCTGAACACGAACAGTATTGTGAGCGTCGACATTTGTCCTACAGTATGGTAGGCGCCGACATTTGCTATACCAAAAGAACACGATGGAGCCTGCCACAGGCACCTGGGCGTTAACAGTATTGTGGGCGCCGACAAACCGTCTTGTACCCGACGACGTGGGCAACAAGACTAGGTAGCACAGACCCTCTCTTTCTCGTACTTGTAAGGTCATCCCCTTCTTCAATAAAAGGGGATGCGCCATCTCCTAACGAAGAGGACGAATCTTCCGACGATCGATTCGGACAACAAACAACAACGACAGACGGATCATTCCGATTCACTCTCTGCTAGCTTTAGACACTCTAAATCTACACAGAGCACACGTTCGAATACTTAGCGCACGTAGGAGCTCCCGTCACTCTCGGCCCTTCAGTCCAGAGTCCGACCGGACCTCTTACACCCCCATCTTACTCCTACTTGTTTGTAACCCCACAGCAAACTTCGAGCACTTGGGCTCAGGAATAAAGTCACCGACCGACTCAAACTGAATGTAGGGCACGTTGCCTGAACCAGTATAAACCCGGACTTTTTAGAATTCGACCATCATGGAAAGTGGGCTTCGGTGATTTGCCATCCCACGACGGCGCTTCACCAGCTTGCCATTATGAAACACGACCCACTCGCAAGAATGCCATCCGGTGAGTTTAGAACCATTTTCTTCCTCTGTTGCCCCTGTCCCTTTCACCGGAGCTCGTCACTTGATTCTGTGCCGGCCAGATCGAGGCCAACGGCGACAATTCAGGAGCACTTCCTGTTTGTGACCGATCCGATGCAGAGCCACATCGACCAAGACACGATCGGCCGGTTGGCGGTTGGCGGCTGGCGGCGATGCCCAACGCGCGCATCACCTTCTCCACCGTCGTCGCCGGCCACCACCACATGTTCCCACACCGGCGTCCCCGACGATGAGGTCGCCCAGGCGTCACCTCGTTCATCCCTACTACCGGACGGCTTCGACGGCCGGGTTCAACCACGACAAGCACGACCACCACGGCGTCAACGCAGCGTCAGGAGGAGCGCGAAGTCGGGTCCAAGACGCCGCTCCATCGTCGCCCCGCCTCGCTAGGTGGGGCACCCCGTGACGCTGCGTCGTCGTACACCGCGCTCATCGGTGGGTCCCCATGGTGGCGTGCAGCGCAAGACGGCCCCCCATGGGCGCTATATTTGGGTCAAGCCGCCACGGTGTTCGACGTGTACTACCACTACTTCCTGACCACGGCAAGGCCTCACGACTCTCTTGCGCGAGAGACATTGTGGACCCTCACGCCGCCGTCGCTTTGCCGGGCCTCCCACCGCTTAAGGCCGACACGATCCGTCCTTCGTGTCCATGGCCTCGCCGGGAGACGAATTACTACGGACTTTCGACATGCTACGCGACATCTTCACGGTGCTAGACGAGCGAGCATGTGCCCACGGGCGGTGCTCGTGGACACGTTCAACGCGCTTGAGCCTGGCAAGCGCTGCGCGCGTGGTGCCGGGTTCAACCTCATCGCCGTGGGCCCGATGGTGGTGGGACGAACCGTGCGAGCCATGCGTGGAGCTGTTCTAGCCCAACGACGCCACCACGTACATGGATCGGCTGGGACACGAAAACCAAGGCTCCGTGGTGTTCGTGTCCTTCAATAGCATCCTCTCGTTGAGCAAGCGGCGGGACGAGGAGTTGAGGCGTGGCACGGAGGCCACCGGGCGGGCGTACTCTCTGGTGGCGCGCAAGGGCAACACGGTGGTGGTGGGAGTGATAGCGGGCAGGGGAAGGGGATGGTGGTGGAGTGGTGCAACCAAACGAAGGTCCTGTCGCATGGCACGTCGGGTGCTCCGTCACGCACTGCAGGTGGGACTCGACGCTGGAGAGCATCACGGGCGGCGTGCCGATGGTGGCCATGCCGAGGTGGGCGGACCAGCCCACCCTGGCAGCACTAGTGGAGGCGTTTGCGGGCATGGGCATGCGTGCGTGGGTGGACGGCGACGGGGTGGTGGGGCATGGTGAGCTCCAGCGGTGCGTCGAGATGGTCATGGGAAGCACGGACAGTGTTTCCGTAGTGAGGGCGTGAGCAGAGTGTTGGAGCCAACGCGCCAAAGAGGCGCCCGCCGTCGGGGGGACATCGCAGAGGAATCGCCGTGCTTGGAGAAGATGAGCGCTAGTTGAAGAAGAGCGCTCGTTCCATTTTGCGACGCATCTGTTTCGTCCGAGCAGCATCCTGTGAAACAAAAAGGAAAGGGACAGGGCAGAAGAGGAAGAAAAGAGTCCCAAAGCACTCCAATGGCATTTTGGCATGGTGGCCATGTTTCATAATGGCGATCCGGCAAAACCCCGTTGCGAGATGGTATTTTAACGAAGCCCACTTCCCATAATGGTCGAATTCCAAAAAGCTCGTATAAACCCTATGTCATTGTGTCGGTGCAGAAAGTGACCAACACATAAATATTTGTAGTTTTGTCGTACGTTGTGATTGGATGTGGCCTAGCACTCAATGACACAGGGTTTATACTGGTTCAGGCAACGTGCCCTACGTCCAGTTTAAGTCGGTCGATGACTTTATTCCTGAGCCTAGGTGCTCAAAGTTTGCAGTGGGGTTACAAACGGAAGGGAGAAAGATGGGGGGTACAAGAGGTCCGATCGGACTCTGGTCTGAAGGACTGAGAGAGACAGGACCTCCACTATGTGCTAAGTGTTCGAGCATGTACTCGAGGTCTGAACCTGGTGGTTCTGTTGTGGTGTGTTGAATCGATGTAAGTGAACTGATCTCTTTCCTTTGGGAGAAAGTGCGTCCCCTTTTATAGATGAAGGAGATGGCGTTACAAGAGAGAGAGAGTGTGTGTGTACATGTGCTAAGTCTTGTTGCCCATGCCGTCGGGTACAAGATGATTGTAGGCGGCCACAACATTGTTAATGTCATATGCATGTGGGAGGTTGCATCGTCTTCTTCCGGTATGGCAGATGTCGGTGCCTGCTACACTGTTGATGCCTAGAGACATGTAAGGGGTTTTACCATGCTCGCCTGGTAGGGTAAATGCTGGCGCCCACAACACTATTGATGTCTAGGGGCATGTAGGGGAGCCTTACCGCGTTTGCCTGGTATGGGAGTTGATGGCGCCCACAACACTGTAGGGCAAATGTCGGCGCCCACAACACTGTTTGGGTTCTGACATGCCAGGTAGGGTGCAGCGTACCCTTCTGACACGCCCTGTTGGTACTGTCCTGTAGGTGTTTAGAGTATGGTCCTCGGTATTATAGATGACTTGAGTGCCCTGCCTTATTCTCTCCATCCGTTTCCTGGTCCTCACCGAGCGGGCGTCCCTGGTCCGTTGGTCCTAGTCGGCTCTGATTGCGCCAGTCGGAGAAGAACTGTAAGCAGGGGTTTGGCGCATCCCTGGTCAGAGACGCAGGTCAGAGTTGAAAGTGGTGTTTGGCTAGGCCTATCAGTCGGAGAGGCCGTCCGGAGGCGGGCCAGAGTTGGAAGCGGGCGCCGTTCCTCCTTGGCCAGGCCTTCTGGTCAGAGATTGGATCGCCCCTCGGGCCTATCGTTTAGGTATTTGGGCTAGCCTAGGAGTTGCACGTCGTTCGCAACGTTGTCTGCTGGGCCGAGCCTTTGTTGGGAGCCGGTCCATAAGGGACCCCGGGTTTATGAACCTAATAGGAGCCCCCGAGCCCCCAGGCGATTCGGGTAGAATCATCTAGGGGATTTTTATCTTGGCGGTGGGTGCGCGCAAGCGCACCCGTAGGTGTAGCCCCTGAGCCCTCGGGCGATTAAGGTAGAATTGTCTGGGGGGGTTTCGTGTTGCCAGCGGGGGAAGTTTTTGTTTTGTCAGCGGGTGCGCTCGCGTGCACCCGCGGGTGTAGCCCCCGAGCCCCCGAG